CCCAGGCTTTTTTGTTGTTGTGTTCCACTCTTCCCTTCTCCCCACTGACACCAACACTATAGTTCTAGTGTCACTCCAGTGGCATATAACCCAAAACTATGCTGGGGGCCATAGGGCCTCAGAGTTTATCTTTCTCTGTGATCCCATGGTATAATAGCATTTAAATAACATAGTCTCAACACCCCATTTTACATCCCCTAAAACAATCATTAAACTGAGATAATCAGGGCCTGTCTTAAAGACTGTTAGCTGAGGAAGCACTGGTCACTGCAGAGCCAAGGGGGAGCTTTATTTAACTTGTGTTTCGGTTTTTTGTTTGTTTGGGTTTACCAAATGTGCAGATTATAACCTCACTGAGGGCAAGTAGTCAAACCATGTGAAGTAATGACACCATGAGGTCAAAGTCCCAGATGATCTTCCCTCTAAATGCCGTGACAGAGGAGAGGAAGCAGAATCAGGGCCATGGGAGAGAAGGGTTCAGGCAGGGAAGATGATGAGGGTGGTATCTTAGTATTTTTGAGCAATCAGTATCTGCTAAGTTTCTCACAGGACTGAAGATTCCCAGCTACTTTTGTTTATTAAAGAAAGAAGAAATGCCAAAACAACAGCACCATATTGTATCAACATTGTAAATGTCCTGTCATTACTGTGTACCTCTGTGACAGACTGAGGAACCCAATTTAGAAGTGATATTTGTGAACAAAGCCTGGGTAGAAGAGACAGCAAGGACTCTCAGAGACCAGGGCTCATCCAATTTAGACTGTGCAGTTCGTGTGTTAAGTTATTTCTTTTATCACATATTGTTCTAAGGTAGATTTTTTTTTTTTATTTTTAAAGTTGAAATAACCTTCATTAACCCATAATGTACTGGTGAAGTCAACATTTACATTTTTATGATTTGTGTTTGGCTCATTTCAAAGTGTCCATTATCCACTGCTGATGTTGTAAGCTGACCTTATTCAAACATTCCAGTATCAGCTTTCTATACAACCTAAGGCAACTGGAATATTGTCTGACTCACCCTCCAATCTTATGCTTTAAAAACAATTCTGCTAAGTGGGGACTGAATACAAAGGACTATGGTAAAGCACGTTGGGTGTTTTGGCAGTAGGTATGGTGTGGTAACACCTGAACAAGGAGACCCTATACCTCTAAAACACAAACAATGTTGTAAACCAATCTTACTTCAAAAGAAGAAACTTCCATCAAAACTTCATAGACAAAATTCAAGTTTCTTCAATCTCTACTTCAGTTTAATATCTTTGAGTGATTTTACTCAACTGAGAAGTAGAAATGTTAGATAACATATTCTGAATCCAACAAAAATTATCACAGATGTCAGCAACAAAGTTACTAGGAAATGACTATAATTCTTGGAAGGCAAACTCAATGTAATTTGTCTCACATAGATTCTAGATGAGTTTCACTTAGTAATTTATGAAGATGTTTTCTTGCAGTAGTACATTATAGTCTAGTGATAATAACCACGTAGCAAAAATATTAAAAACAGATTACAAGCTTATGCAAAAAAGAGCTTTTAGGACCCTTTCAAGTAAAGGTGACTTGGAAAAGTTGTGGAGTCATTCCATGAAGCGCAGAGAGTTTTATACTTTTCTTTTTAATGCATATGGAAATAGACAGGTATTTAATAAGTTCATAATAATAACTTATGCCTAAACTCTATTTCCATATACAACTAAATGCTATCTCTAAAAGGAGAAATTTCCTTGGGTTTCTTCTAACTGAAAGTATATATTGATGGAGCTTCGTTAGCAAATGTCTTGGGTTTACATTAATTCACATTTGTTGGTGGTCATAGAGTAACTTCCATGAGGTGATCACTGCACCTGGCTTTTAAATATATAAATAAAAAAGAAGGAAAATAAAATAAAATGTTTGTACTTCTTTCTTCCATACCAGACAAAACAAAATTCACTGCTGAGACTTCTGTTCCAGTGGCTTTTATAGATCCTGTTTACTTGACGGACAAGGCCTTTTCTGGAACCCATCTGGGGTCAGTGAACTCATACTGGGTGGCTTAACACAGTTCCCAGTAACCCCCCAAATCTCCTCAGTAAGGGGTCAGTCTAACTTTCTTGTTGTGGCCAAAATTTTTGGAATTCTGTCCAACTCCTCTTTTTCTTATGCCCAATATAAAACTCATCTCCAAGCCCTATTAGTAGTCCCTTCAAAACAGCCATGTTCTTGAATTGAGAGAGAGATACTGAATTGAATACTCATCAAAGCTATTGAATTGATACTAATTGAATAGTAAGTGTGAGAAGTAATATATTTTATGTAAAATTCTAGTGTTTGACAAAGGTGGATCTCAAATCATTGGGGCAGAGATAGTCTTTTTTTTTTTTTAATGGTGTTAGAATACCTGAATAGCCATTTGGTTAAGAAAATTAGATCAATTCCTCCCACACACTCAAGTTCAAACCCCAAATGGTCCCAAGTTCTAAATGTAAAAAGTGAAATAATAACGTAAAGAAAACATGAGTGACTTCCTCTTTAAACCCATAACTCATGTGAGGTAAACCCAGAGCAATAAAAACAAACAAACAAAAAAATGACTACATAAAAATAAAACTTTTACATGACAAAAAACCCCATTATAATCTTCAAAAGACAAATGACAAACTGCAAAACAATATCTCAAATATTGCAAATTATATCTGAGATAAATGGCTAATGTTGGATTTTTTTTAATTGAGAGAAAAAAAACTTATACAATGGATTTTTTTTTTTAAATAAGAGAAAAAATCTTACAGGACATAGCCAAGCTACAATAACAGATTATTCACAAAAGGGATCTAAAAATGTCTCCTAAACATTTGAAAAGATGTTCTGTACCATGTAAGTAGAGTGCAAATTAAACTATACTGAGGTGCCATTTCTCACTTAGAGATTGGCAAAAATTCAAAAGCTTGACAATGCAATCTATTGGTGGAGCTGTGAGGAAACAGGAACTCTCATATATATATGTTACTTAACCACGAGGATATGTTCTGAGAAATTCATTGTTAGCCAACTTCACCACTGTAGGAATATCACAGAGAGTATAATGACATAATGCTATTCCATACTTAGGCTATATAGCATAACTGAATTATTCAGACTATTGACTATGTGGTTTGTCATTGATCAAAACTTTGTTAACATGAATAGGGAGGCAAGAACATAAGGGACTATGGTGATGGTCATAGGTGCCAAATTAATGGGAGAATTTTGGGAACTCCACATGTGGGGGAAAATCAAATATTGTACAATGATATAAGAAAATAAAAAAAGAAACACATGAATAGCTTTGGGAAAGTAAAGTGATGTTATCCACAAGGAGGGCAATTTGGCGTTAACCAAGAAAATTACATGTAGATTTACTGCTAATGCAGCAGTCTCACTCCTAGAAAATTTATCCTGAGGATACATATTCATCAATTCAAAAATACATATGCCCAAAATTATTCATTTGTAGCATTACTTGCAAGTGTAAAACACTGAAAACTCCTTAAATGATCAAGCATAGAAGATTAATTGGACAAACTATTGTACTGTACACAGTGGAATACTATACAGCTTTAAAATAAGAAAGATCTCTTTGAACTGATACAGAGTAATTTCCAGATGATATATTTTTGTGTAAAAAAGAAGCAAAATACCAAAGTATATATTTAAAATGACAAAGTTTGCATAGTAAGGAAAAGAAAGCAAAACGAGGTGCATCTTTTTTCAATCATTTAAAACATACACACACACATACACACAGACACACACACACGAACAAAGAACCTAGAAATAAAGAAATTGCTGGTCTCCAAGGTAGATGGGATAGACAAGGAGATAACAGATCTCTGTATATAACATTTTTGTATGTTTTTGATTTTTGAAAGCTTGCTATTATCATGTTTTCAAAGAAAATTAAATCAATAAGGACAGAAAAATAAAACTGAAACTGATAGCAAGTAAAACAAATGAATCTACATGTATGTCAAATGAATGCCACGAAGAAAAACGGTTTCCAGATACAACAACACAAAAAAATATAGGACACCCAGTTAAATTCTAATTTTAAATAAGTAACAAATAATTTTTTATTATGTGTGTCCCATGCAATATATCTCCACGTACCACCCTGTCCCCATGTCTCTCCTCTTGTCCTGCTCACTCACTCAGCTCTAGACACTCAGACCTTCCTGCTGTTCCTTGGACATGCCAAAAGCCTCAGGCTTTTGGACATGCTTACTGGGCTTTTTTCCCTCACCTACTTTAGGATTCTGATCAGAAGTACCATAATTGAGAGATCTTACATGCCTACCACAGTCCTTCCTCTTACTTTGAAATGTTGTTGTTTACCCTAGCATTTACTGTTTACTGGGAGGCACACATATGTTATATAAATTCATGGTGGATGTGTGTGGGGGTGTGTGTGTGTGTGTAAAAGAACATGATACACAGGAAGTATTCGATGACTATTTGATGGAAAAGGAACAGTATTGTTGGATCCACCAAATGTATGGAGATGTGAAGGCCCTTAATACTCAGCAAATGTTATTTCCCATTCTTCACTCACCCTCCTTTACTTGTAAAAATTTCCTTTTTTAAGCCTAGAATCTAAAAACCAGTCAAGATATTCAACAAAACAGCGCTAAAAAGAGGTGTTTTGCCTCTAGTTCTTTATGACTAATCAACTCAGCTTCCAAGCCTTTTGAGAAGCTATTTTTCTTCCAACTCCAGTTCTTCCATTTAAAATGGTAATTCCAGGTCTCATTTTGCATTTTATCCTATACAGGAATGTGAAGGTCACCCATTTAGCAAAATGCATTTAGAAGCAGCCACGAAGGCAATGTAGAAGTGAAGATGAATTGAAGTTATTTATATTCGGTAAAAATATGTTGGAGGAGTAAGGTAAGAAAAATGTGTTTCTCCATCAGGAATGCTTTAGGCATGGTTAAGGAACACCCTTGGGTCACCAACCACCAACCAAGATTATAATCTCACTTCTTTCCTAAAGTGACAGGGCCAGGCCACAGGCAGATGAAGGATGATGAGATGTGCCAAAGGCACTTCTGAAACACAGTCACCAAGGAGTCTGAGGAAAAACTTGAGACAATTCTGTAAGTTCACAGCATCAAAACAGTAACCAACAATAACTTAAGAACCCATTGGTTATGTTTCTTTTATAGTTTACTCTTGTTTCAAGTTTGAATTATGGAATAGAGAAGCATCTTAATATTTTCTGAGCTTCAGCTTCTAAAGGTGGTCAGATTTGACTCTTTTCTAGATGGCCATTTAGCTCTTCTGCAAATGTCCATCTACCACTGTTAAAAACCTTACCTTTCCCAGTAATAGTTCTCCTCTGGTCAATGGAGCACTTTTAGAGCATGAAGATTCTGCCAGGAGGTAATCAGGATGTTATCCCAAAATAAAAATACTCAACCCTTGTCACTTCTCTTCTGGGGTGTGGGATGAGTCACAAATGATAAAGAAAAAATATTTAATTTCCTTAGATACATGCATTTTGCTTGTATTCATGATCTTGATAGAATTCTCTATTTGCTGAAATGCAATCATAGGTGACAGATTTTGGTGGAATTTTATCAGCAATGTAGGCTGAACCACCTCAGCAACTTTAAAAAAATATTTTTTTGGTAGTCTGGGCTACACAATGTAATTGTTTCAAAAGTTATTATCAATCTAACAAAAATAAGTCTCAGAAAAAAATTGAAACATAATCTTCATGATTCAAGGATTTCATTTTGATCTTTCTATGATAGAATATGTTCAGGCAATTAACTTGGATTGCCATATTCATGTTTCCTTTTTCAACGCAAAATAAAATGGGGTTTTGTATCATTTAATAGCATTGTATCTTTCATATTGCTGGTCATAAAATCAATTTAGTGGGTCAAAACAAGTAGTTTCTTAGTGAATTAAAATAAAATACAAAATATCAAAATACAAAAGAAATTTTATTTTTCATAAAACTTTTGTTTCAAAAATATGTATGTGTGTTAGGCTGCACTATAAAATGTTATTCTTACTGTGAATCACAGTAAAAAAAAAAAACTGTGGAAGCCATGGATTTAATATTTGCATTTGTTAAGCAATTATTTGTTATAACAAATAAAATCTAATTCTTAGATTAACTTATAAAGAAATACCAACTATCTGTGTAAACTAATGTATAGAGACATTCAAAAATATTAAAGTTTCTCAAGAAAAAAAGATATTTTACTACAAAGAAAATATGTTTCTGACTTCTTGAAAATCAAATCCCTAACTCATTTAATGAACTGAAGAGTAAAAAAAAAATTCTTTACCTTAAATAAACTAGGACATTTAGGATGACTAGGATATTTAGGATGACTAACTTAAACATTTTTTAGTAAAATGAAATGGTGATATATTTATGGGGACTTAAACCTCTTAAAAGAGTCTTTTTAGGACTTATTTTATTGTGACATGACATATGATAAACCCTAACTGGTGGGTATAACATCTGACATCTTAATGGACGATGTTAAAGATGAATACTTGATCAATGCAGTCCTATCTTTAGCCCTGCCTGGAATCTTCCATGGCTCCTGTGTTATGATTCCACAAAAATCAGAATGTGGAAGGACAACAACTCAGATGTCCTAATGGAAGTCCAACCATTAGAATGAGGCCCCAGCTTGGGGGCTGCTCTGGGACTGAATGAAAAAATCCAAGAACTACAAGTATAAATTTATACCTGTAAATACATATTTACAGCTATAAATTAATTCTGGGGGCAGTGATGATGGAGGATGTTTCTTGGGTCCCTATGAGATGAGCTCCAGACTTCTGAAGCTATTTTGTACATTGACCCTCAACTATTTTGTACATTGACCCTCAAGCTATTTTGACCCTCAACTTTGCCATTCCAGGACATGGTGCTGACTTGTAACCATTCAGTCTCTTTAACTGTCTGCAAACCAGTCTATCATAATTGCTGTTTGCCAGCATTTTTGAAACTCGTTTGTCCATATCTCATTCCAAGGGATCCTTTTATCAAAGACCTCCTATTTTTTCAATAGAAAATCAGCATAAAATTTAGTACTTGAATAAGAACTGATCAGTAGACTGAAGTGTCTGCATCTTGTATTAATGCTTTTGAAAAAAATGTGGTGTAAAAATTAAGCTAGTTCATCAATAAGAATATTTGAAACTCATTGACTAGCCTCTAGAAAGCTTGACAAGTCATCTTAAAAATGGCACAGACTATAAATGGGAAATGTTGCTTTGACTGGGAAGAAATCCAAAAAAGTAAAGCATTCCTAAAATTTATTTCACAACATCTAGATATTCTTGCTCTCATCCTCTCTTGCAAACAGTGGTATAAGCTTGAAAGCTCAGTTCCCAAACCCAAACTCCATAAATAAACGTTCAGCAGTGAGACCCCTGTGAGACAAGATGGTGTAAATATTAGAATTATGACAGTGGTTGCAGTTTAAACTTTTAAACTCTCCTTTCATGTGTTTTTCCTCAGAAACAGCACTAGGGCCTTCTCATTCTCGGCAGGAAAGTGTTGAGGACTGTAGGGCATTTGTTTACTATGGCATACAGAAGACTTGTTCCCCAAAGGTGTCCAGCTCTGGACCTCCAGAACCAGTGAATGTGTAACTTTACATGGCAAAGTGGATTTTGCAGAAGTGACTAAGGTCTTGAAAAGGGAAGTTTATCGTGATCATCTAGGGCCCTGGGAATCACAAAGGTCCTTATTAAGAAGATTGCAGGAGAAGTCAAAGTCAGCGGTAAAGAGCCAGCAGGAGTCAGAGGAGAGAAGATATCACACTGTTGACTCTGAAGATGGAGGAAGAAGCATGAGCCAAGGTGTGCAGGAGGCCCTTATGAGCTGAAAAGGGCAAGGAAAAGAAGTTCACCCTTCGAGACTCTGGAAGCCTGGACAACACCTTGAGTTTAGCCCAGTGAGGCTGATTTCTGACCTCTGACTGACATTTCAACAAGTATGGTAATTTATTTTTTTTTAAGATTATTTATTTATATAAGCACTGGGTATAGTCAGAAGCACGGGAGGGTAAAAGAATTCACCAGAGCCAGAGCGGGGAGCAGAACAGGCAGAAGGACCGAAGTACGATGCTGAGGGGAGCAGCAGGTGCAGCAGGAGAGGTCTGCGCGCCATGTGGGACCCTCGCCAGGGGCCTAGGAACGAACCAACGCTGCAGAGGCTGCGGGCAGCTTTGAAGCCCAGCGCTCAACTGCTGCACCACCAGGGGAGGCCCAATTTAAATATTTTAAATCAAAACTTAATCAAATATTTTCTCCATCTTTAAAACTTCAAGAACCAATCTATGCCATTGGAGAGAAAATTTATTCCCTAAACTATGTCTTCCTTCTAATTTTGGAATTTATCACTAAAGAATGAATTTCTTCTTAGTGCCTTATCCACTTTTATCAGAGGTGCTTCAAAGTAGGAAGGGTGAAATACAAATGCCACGTGGCTTTGATCATCTATTAATATTAGTCTTTCACATCGCAAAAAAGGACCATATTGAGGAAATGGAATGTCAGTTTCTCTAGGGTTTGATATTATGAAAATAACCCAGTAAAGCAAGATTTTCCTAAGTTTCAGTGGAAGTGCTTATAAAACATGAGAAATCCTGAAAATTCAAATTTGTAATTTGTATAAGATTTGAAATATGAATGTCCAAATCGTAGAATAGAAGACCTTGCAGGAAAATTTAGGAGGTTATTATTTCATTTTATCCTGGCTGTAAGTTTCTCTCTTACAAGTGAGAGCTGGTCCCAGTGTAAAATACAGCTTGAGGTACAGAAAGTTCACGCAGAAAAGTATTCCCCCTAAAAACTTGCAAATAAAATAGGGCCACAGTGTGAGCTGGCAGCGAAATGAGAAACCACCTCTCACAGAAAGGTCAAGATATAATATGGAGTGAAAAATCTTCAGGGAACTATCACTTTCTGAAAAGGAAAATGCCAAAAGTGACAAATCTCAGAGAATTTGAGGAGACAAAGGCTAGAGGTTGGAAAACAGACCAGAACCACCAGCCTTCTTCTTTTCAGTGTCTCTTCAAGGTCATTTCCCCAGAATGTCTTAGCAGTTTCCCATAAAGAACAAAGGGGAAACCCTTGCCCCAGATCATTGCTAACCAAGATGAGGTACCTTCTGATAGAGGTGAAGCTGAGAAGAGGTGTGGACTGTAGCCCACAGAGCACACTTTAGTACCCATGCCCCTGGGGACTTTTTTCCTTCAATATTGGAAGTAAAATCCATAGAGATTTTATGGCCTCATGTGATCTAAGCACTAATGACCAAGCTTAAATGGACACACTGAGCAACACATACAAACACAGCAAAGACTTATTAATCCATTTGCCAGCTGGTGGCAACCTGCCCTACAAGGACCTTTCTCTCTTCCCAGGCCTGGGAATCAGGGGTCACAGTGGTGCCCAGGAGCCCATTGCTTCAGGGGCTCACACTGTCCTTTAGCACTGATAATAGAGAATGTGAGGCATATTACTGAGTTTAAAGTTTTGATTAAGGGCCTCCCCGGTGGCGCAGCGGTTGAGCGCTGGGTTGCAAAGCTGCTCCGCGGCCTCTGCGGCGCCGGTTCGATCCCCGGCTGCTCCCCGGCCACCGGAGGAGGGTCCCACACGGCGCGCAGACCTCTCCTGCTGCCCGCTGCTCCCCTCAGCAGTGTACTTCGGTCCTTTTGCCTGCTCTGCTCCCCGCTCTGGCTCTGGTGAATTCTCTCACCCTCCCGCGCTTCTGACTGTACCCAGTGCATGTATAAACAAAACAAACAAGCAAACCAGCAAACAAATAAATAAAGCATGCCTCTATTAAAAAAAAAAAAAAAAAAAGCTTAAAAAAAAATAAAGTTTTGATTAAACACTTAAAAAAACAGTTTCAATTAATATTAATACATTTTATTTATCTGAACATATCCAAAGATCATTTTGACTTGTAATCATTATAAAAATCATGGAGATAGTGTACATCCATAGTAAATTCTCAAAATTTGGTCTACATTTTACACTTGCATTGTATCTCAGTTCAGCTAGCCACCTTTCAATGGCACTAGTATTGGGTAACAGCTGTATGAGCTGAAGAATCACTGAAGGGCTTGGGGTAGACAGAGAAAGGAACAAGTGTTTCCTCAGATGAGCACTCTGGCCACCTTGAACACAGACTGCAGTGCAAGAGAACATGCAGGAAGCTGTTGGAATAATCTGTGTGAGGCTCTGGGATTGGCAGTGAAGGCAGACTTGAGAATGTCCAAGAGATGGAATGAATAGGACTTAATCATTATTGTCGGTACAGTAAGAGAAAAATAGGTTGATTTCTAGCTAATGTGGGATTTCTAGCTACTATGACCAAGTAAAAAATAATGTAATTCATTGAGATCTTGGAGCTCGTGCTAATGAGTGACAACATGAAGTGAGAGCAGGGACATGGTTTTGGACATGTTGAATTTGAGTTGCCTGGGTGGTATGAAAGTAGAGATGTTCAGTAAATTTTCAGCTATATGGGGCCTGAACCTCAGGGGGAATATGGAGATATGGGCAGATAGACTTAAAAATCTCCCATAAATATCATGTGCATTTTTTTATGACCTCCAAACAGTTATGAGCCAAAGACTGGATAGAGAAAATGAATCTCTCACAAAGACCAATAGGAGGGATCAAAGGATAAAATAAAATAAAAATACCAGGACATGTTATAAAAGTTAGAAGAAAAAGAATTTTCTAGGGGGGTAAGGTCAACTCTGTAAGGTGCACCAGAAGATGTGCTCGAGTCCGTGGATTTTGGCAGTATGACTTCTGCCACTGCAATTGTCAAAACACTGTGCAAGTTGAAACCAGATCATCAAAAGTTAAAATCTAAATAGAAAATGAGAAGTTTGAGATTATTCCTTCAACAGGCATGGCTCTCAGAGAAGATGGGGGAGCAAGAAGAAGTGTATTTTTTTTAATGATGGCAGTGATCTGACTACATACACAAGTTAAGGCTAAATAACCAATGGAGTGCAGAGACTGAGGAAACCAGAGAGAAATAGAACCAGTTTTGGATAAAGTTCATGGAGGAAAGAAGCAGAGGTGGGGAAAAGAGTCCTGGGAAGGGACCTTAAATGATGGAAGTGGTCCCACCATCTTCTATAAGGTAGGAACTGTGTAACAGACTGGGACTATTCTGTGGAAGGGAGTATGGGAAGTGGTGCTCCCTTCCCACTGGTTACTTCCTTTTCTCACTGAAGCTGAAAGCAAGATAATACCCTAGAAGGATTAAGGCAGAGTCTGTACAGGGAGTGTGAGGAGAAGGAGAACATTTGGGGATCATCCATGAGAGAATGGGAGCAAAAGAAGACCAGGGAGAAGTAAGGAGATTGTTGTGTAATTTGGAGGACCTAGATATGCATTGTGCTGTTGTGTGTTTGGTGATTTTCTCCAGCAGCTCTCAGCTACAAGGGCATTAAAGCAGAAAAAATGACACTACACATGGCTGAGCTTTGAGTGTGGTGCAACTTAAAAGTCACGCATGCAAAGTTTGTGAAGTTGTTCATGGGAGTTGACTCTGATGATCCACGTGGCCTGTTCTCTGAGGAGGGGAGACATGCTGGGAGGGTGCTCATATCCCACCCAGAAGTGGACGTACAAGTGACGTAAAAAGCAAATGTTGGAATGTGGATGAGAAAGTTAGTAGGATGGAAGGTTGTGATTAGAAAATAGGACCTTGGAGTTCTGACTAATTTGAAATCCAGAGCACTGACCATGGGGAGCAATGACTTCAGAGGAGTAGAGGTGAATACTCATTGGAATTTGAAAGACCAGAGACTCAAGAGGGTATATCTTACTATGGCGACCTTACACCACTAATATGTACTAGACTTCACAGTGATAACAAACATGAGGCAACTGGGTCACTACTGCTCACTCCCCACCATACATAAGGCAGGTGGATGAACTCCTTTTCCTTGAAGGCAAGGAACTGGAGGAAGCGTTCTTTTTTTTTTTTTTAAGATTTATTTATTTATGCATACAAGAACTGGGGTACAGGCCAGAGGTGTGGGGGGTGAGAGGATTCACCAGAGACAAAGTGGGGAACAGAACAGGCAGGCTGACTGAAATACACTGCTGAGGGGAGCAGCAGGCGAGTCAGGAGAGGTCTGCTGCACCATGTGGGTTGCTTCCTGGCTGGGGATCAAACTCATGCTGCAGTGACTGCGAATAACTTCATAGGTTGCATTTTAACCCCTTGTGCCCCCAGGGAGGCCTTGGAGGAAGCATTCTTATGGTTGTAAAGGCATGGGTTTACCCTACTCCGGAGTTCCAGGGTCTCTGTGGGAAAACTGGGTAGAACACTAGGGAATGGAAAAGTTCATGGGCAGAAGAGAACATACAACAAAGGAGTGATAGGGAGAGAGAAACAGGATGATCATAGGTTTGGGTGATAACAAGATAACAGGGAGTTAAGGTTGAGATCATTGAGGTGCAAGTTTTTACATGGATCATAGATACTCGATGGATATCTATGGCATGGAATCCTTGCTCTCCTCTTTCCTGCCCATCCTTTTCATGTGTCCATTTCTGTTTTCCCCTGTCCTTCAGCTAGCTTTAAGGTACAAGGGGGAGCATCCAAAACATTTTGTTGCACCACTGATAATGTTCAGTGATTTAAAGTTCTTTAAGGCTTACTCATTATTGTGTCAATACATCAACTCTAATCTGAGAGCCCCTGACTTGGGCCAAATGGAAACTGAACTAAGACTCATTCTAAAGGTTTTCAAATAAATATGCAGTTCTGTCTCCCAATCAATTATTCTAGCCTCAGAAGATAAAGAGTTTCAAAGCTTCTGTTCAAAGAGAAAAATATGTAATGTTTGTTCAACAATAAAAATTATTTGCTTTTAAAATCTCCAACTTCAGGACATAGCTAAAATATGTACATAGATACCCATCATTTAACTACTTTAAGATAACTTTATAATTGGGGAGTTTTAATCATTTCATTTACATGTTATCTTTGAAGCTGTTCACTTTTGGTGAGAACACTAAAATACAATGTCATTCTGCACCAGCAGTTTTTCATCAAGTGTTTTTTTCTTTAAATTGTGAAGACATTGATTATGGTGCTTAAAAGTTGTCTGCATCACAAAAGGGTATGAAGTTCCACTTCTTATCATCTAAATTGTATGTTGCGGCCTCCTTGGTGGCGCAAGGGGTTAAGCATCACACTCTGAAGCAATCAGCAGCCTCTGCAGCACAAGTTCGATACCTGGCTTGCCAGCCCCACATGGCGAGGCAGACCTCTCCTATCTTGCCCGCTGCTCCCTTTAGCGGTGTATTTCAGTCTGCCTGTTCTGTTCCCCACTCTGTCTCTGGTGAATCCTCTCACCCCCCTGCAACTCTGGCCTGTACTCCAGCTCTTGTATGCATAAATAAATAAATCTTAAAAAAAATAAGTTGTACATTGTACATTGACACAACATATAGTAAACGAAACAGACTTTCCTATTTCGACTAAAAGATATAATAATAAAACAGTTCAGAGGTTCTTTTGAAAAGTTTGATTTGGTGGGTTCCTAATCTAAATCCAGTCTTTTTGCTCCCTCAATGCAAATGTTGATTGTATGTTTGCCTCAATAGTTTTGTCTGACAGTGTGAGGTCATTCCCCGGTCCCTTAGACCGGTACTGAAAGAAATGAGATGAAATGACAGGGATGCCAAAAGTGTTTAAATACCATCACCAAAGAGCAAACCTCTGAGGCGTAATGACTGGTTTTTGTTTCCCCTGTTTCATCACACGGAAGTGCTAGTGTTTTCCTCCTGGGAAACATCAAATAAACTTCAGAGAGACAAACTTATTAGTGTTAACCAAAGTAATCCAAAACTCTGTGCTAGTGAGAGCTAACATAATTTGCGTGACATCCAAGTTTATGTCAGTTTTGAAACTGAACTTAAGAGTTCCAAATTCCCATGGTGGTAACCACATTCCTTCAGGCAAGAAGAGAGGAGCCAGTAGTATTTCTGTGGTCAAAAATGAGGCTTCTTGTTCAGAAACAAGGATACTGATCTCCTGATTGCCTAGCACTGCCACAAACATTGAACACTATGCATTATGATACGTAAAATTGTAAGCCAATAATCAGTGAAAACGGATGTAGAATTCATTCATCTGGCTTTTGTGACACAGAAATAACTTTGTTTAGCTAGTGTCGCCTATACTCTCATTTATTATACATAATAGAAGGTAATAACGTTGGGTTTGATATCTATCAATATCTGGTTTCTTACAACTATTAGAATATTCTAGGCTGAATAATATATATAATTTAAAAATCAAAGGATTTTAGTTATACCATTATTTTTAAGTCTTTTTTTCACGGGATCCATTATTATCAGAAAATATGTTTTATAACCTACTGTGTTGTCAGAAGAATGTCCCATCCTCATGTTCGTACAGACCTTTCTCTTCACATTAAGAGGTGAAATCTCTGTCTCTTCCCCTTAAAACCGGGTGAGCTGCTAGCAAGTAGAATGTGGAGCTTATGGAACACATGCTTTCCAAAGATAGAAAACACCACACACGGTCTGTCAGTCTCTCCCAGGACACTCACCTGTGCAGCTCATGTGAATGTGAGGTGTTGGGCACCTATGCCCACAAGGTAGGTCTAATGCAAAGAGAGGGGGAGGTGCCAAGACTGCATATAGGAAGGGAAGGGCCTGGCCAGTGTCCACTGCTTCATCACCGCTTGACCACATTTACATACAACACCCCAAGCAAAATCCTCAGCCAAACCATTTATGGATTCCTGATCCCCAGAAACCAAGAGCAGTAATAAATTATTTTTGTTGCTTTAAGCCACTGAGTTTTGGGAGTGATATGTTATATAGTATTAGATGACAGGGGAAATTTTCACCTAAATTAAGGGCCCTTTTCAAGGAAAGGATTTATAGTCGTTCTCAAGTGTTGCCCAGATACTCCGTCAAAATGTTTCCATCCCACTTAGAACCACGGAAACCCTTTCCCCAAGTGAGAGGAGTCTTCACTGCCGAGGGCTCATCACTGTACCCCTTTTCAGGAATTGCCAGCCAAAGGGAGCTGGGCCCCTCCCTGGGGCAGCCCCATTATGATACAAAGACCTGACCTCCTGGCCTTAATTCAGGCAACACAGAGGGGGCACCGGAGCTCCTTGTGGGATAGGCTAAGATCTTGATCACATCTTTCTCCTGTCAGGATTGCTTCTCTCTGTCCCTTACAGCAGTGGTTCCGCAGTGACTGCCTCAACAACACACTGCAATCAAATCTCCTTTCCCAAGACAGAATTAAGGCCGGTCTCACTGGAAGCTTAATAATCATTAGAAAAGAAGATGAAGTCAGGTTCTCAGATACTGTAATTCCCTGGTTTTCCCAGTCAACTGCCATAACAGAGAGATGTTGATTTTCATATTGACGTGAACAAAGTTCCTAATCAGCTGTTTATTAACTATATACTGAGATGATTTCCCTTCCCTGACAGTCTTTAAGGCATCCTTTATTCATTCTGACACTTTGCTGGACATAATCTAATTTGACTGACCAAAAGCTTTTTGGCCTTGGGAAGTTTTAGCAGTATGACGTTTCAGAAAAAAAGTATGTTAAAAATAAAATCATTGTATTATGGATCTGCATTAGCAATGAGACACTGGAAATAAGACCACAACCCACTGGATATGTGCAGGACTTAAGTAGATACCTGCTGTAACTATATAAGACAAGAAGACTTTTTATAAATCTTGTAAGATTTGAAGGTGCTGATTCCACTTTTCCTGGAAGAAAATGTTTCATTTTCTTATTTGTTGTTTCATCTGTTATTTTATCCTCCAGTCATCTTCCAGAAGTGATTCATTATTTTCACAAAGTCTGTGAAGAGGAAGACTGAGCTCACAAATTATTGCTAGAGGCTTAGAGTATGGGGACAGCTCAATGACTTAAACCACAGGACATTTTTATTTCTCAAACCAGGTCCTATCTTCTACTTCAGGCATTTTATAATTAATTCCTGAAAACAAGCTTCAAGTGTGTTTTTCTCACTTGTGTATCCTGTGTTTGCAGGCTCTTCTTTACATGAGCACAGCTTCCAGCTGAAACCACTGATCCCTCAAATTTTCAAAGTTCTCTTGAAGCCACTCCATCAGCACAAGGTGATCAGCATTTGAATGGGGACACCCAGGAATCTGCACCATGGAGTGTGGAATTGTCCTTCCTTTACAAGCTTGGAAAGCAAAATAAGGTACCATTCTTTTCAATACTTAAATTAAGTTACTCTTACCCCCAGTCACTCTGAGGGGAAAAGTATTTCTTCCATCCCTGAGATCTTCCTCCCTGGATGTCCCAAGACTGAGGGATATTTACTTACTCTAGAGATTTGATGACCAATCATTCTTTGAGAGAAAATAAAATGCCTTCCTGGACTAGAGTCTTAGTCCACTGGAGACTGTTTTGCTGTTAAAAATACCATATATTGGGTGACTTAAACCAGAAACATTTATTTCTCACAGTTCTAGACGTTAGGAGGTCCAAAAGCATGATCCATCAGTGTCTGGTGGGAACCCACTTCCTGATTAATAGACAACTATCTTTTTACTGTGTCCACAAGTGGTGGAACACTCCTGGGAGCTCTTTGAGGCCTCTGAGGGCACCAACCCCACTTCAGAGGCCCTACCCTCATGACCTAAGCACCTCTCAAATGCCCCACCTCCAGATACCATCACCCTGGGGGATAGGATTTCAGTGTATGAATTTTGAAAAGACAAACATTCGCCCTGTAACAGTCATCAGGAAGTCGGTGCTTTTCAGCTTTCATGGTGGTTGTTGCCACTGCACCAATATAGTCCTTGCCTGTGCCTCTGTCAATGCTGACCTGACAGGAGTTTCTCCCCTTTGAGGGGAGAGCAGCACCCAAGGCTGTTTAGCTAAGATTGCTTATAGCCCATGGCTCTCTAGAGCACAGCTTTTGTCCTATATACAAATTCAGTCACTATCCCATGGCAACTCATGATGCTGAAGTAGCTGGGACAGAGGTGTCCAGTCATTCAACATTCTATCCTGCATTGCATACCCCTGCCCAAATGCCACTTTCTATTGTTGCTCAGTCATGTGCTGTCCTTCAAAAATGAGTCCACAACACTGTTCCCCATCAGTGGCATAGAGAGAGAACAGGATCCACAGAACCAGTGGTGTTGCTGACACAGCCCAGAGACTCCTCAAAGCCCAGAGAAGGTCAGTAGCCACACTAGATCTCTTCTTCCTTCAACTCCGGGTCTGATTTCCTGGCCTAGTATGTTTCTCAGTCAGCATTCCCACTGTCTCATCTGCATAGTCTTCCAACAACAGTCAAAATATAGGGCCTCCTCGTGGTGCAGGGGGTTAAATCTCAGCACTGTGAAGCTATCCATAGCCATTGCAGCATGTGTTCGATCTCCTACCCGGGAGCTAACCCACATGGCACAGCAGACCTCTCCTGTTTCACCCACTGCTCCCCTCGGCAGTGTAATTCAATAGATCTGCCTGTTCTGCTCCTCGCTCTGTCTCTGGTGAATCCTCTCACGCCCACTCCTCTGGCCTACACCCCAGCTCTTATATGCATAAATAAATAAATCTTTAAAAAAAACCCAACAAAATATAGACCCATTATGCCAACACACACACAGGTTTGCTTTCTCATAACACATTATCTGAGTTTGGCAAGAGTCTTAAAATCATTACACAGTATCTCTCTGATTCAGTTCCACTTGTTCTGGGGGGAACACAGTCTTCCCCCTTGAACTATAGCTTGATATTTCTGAGAATTCTCAGAGGGGTCCTGTACAGGTTCCATGAAGTCCTTCTTGCAATTTTCACAGTTTTCACTTCTCTCGATATCCACACCCATTACTGCTGTTTATAGGCAGTCTGTGTGCCTTTGCTAGCTAGCTCAAAGCATTATTCTGACAGAAACCCATCATCAGCATTGTTGATGGGGCCCACTGGAGGCATGGCACCATCAGTGCACCCCAGAATACTGGCGTGGCTCCTACCTGTGCTACAAGGGGTTCCCAGCAAAGCCATGTCTAGGCAGGCTTTGTGCACACTCCTGTGCACACTAGGAGCCACTGTCTTCCATCATCGCCCACCAGGGGCATGGAGAGTTTCCCCCTGGTCCTCAAGAGCTCTTTAGCTTTTGCCGCATCTCATCTCAGCCCCTCTCCTTGGACACGGGCCCACACTTACAGGGGCAATTACGATTCCCCTCTGTACTTCCCTTGAACTCTCTCTGTGCCATATGGTCATACAGAGAAACAGAACCTGGCAGGCCCAACCACAGGTCCTGCAGACTTGTTCACACATGCCTGAACCCTGCGGCGAGCACAGCTCAGCCTCCCGCTGAAACTTCTGCTACCAGCATGAGGCTACATTGGCTTTAGGAATTAGCAATGACTAGTGGCTGTGAGCGCAGAACCTCCAGAGAGAGGTAGAAACAGGGTGCTGTGGTTTCTTCAGCAGGACTAAAGCACGCTTTAAAATTCAGTGTGAGGAGACAAGAGGCCACAAAAACATTTCCTAAAGAAGAGGACGAGCAACATTAAGGGCCCACATGGCTATTTCCCCCCAGTTTTATCACTGAATGTCCCTTTATTGATCCTTTAGGACTTACATTCTTCCACAAGGATGAATAACATTGTGTTTGTGATGTGAAGAGATATATCCTTTAAGAAAGACAACATCTGTCTCCTCCACAGGCCAGGGATTTAGAGAATTGCATGCGTCTCTGAGAAAAAAAAAGCCAACTTTCTGAAATCTATGAAAGAGAAACTGTCAGGAGTCAATTAATTAAAGTTAAGTCCCCACAAATACTGCCACATGCCAGCTCCAGATTAAAGGCTGCAGACACGCATTATACTTTGACCTCTTGTCACCGGTTGAGTACCTGGCAGATTTGTGGAAAGTAGCTTGTGTGCTGATCCAACAGAAATGGGTATTAACTGGCAAGAAAGGTAGATAAAGACTTCAAGGACATTCTCAGGCATTTTAAGTTTGGGACTTTTCATCTTTCCCATCCTTACTCCTATGCTCCTCTGGGCAAAGTTTTCCTCTTTTTTTCACTATATATATTTTGCAAATTACTTCAGTACTGTCTTTTTGTGGGTTATGTCTGGGATGAATGACTACTTTGAATTTGTCTGGTTTGAGGATTGAGTAGCCAGCTCCCTTAGCTAAAGACCCTTTCAAGATGTTACAAGGTGCAGTGTGATTGCACTGCAAAGCCCCTGGTTTAGTCCTGGGCACAGGGGAGTACAGAGCAGGTAGCAGTCACGCACTGTAGGAGTGGGACACCCACATTATAAACAAAGGTCACTTTGTCGTAAGTGGAGCACCAGGCTAGGGATGGTACTAAATATGGCTCTTCCAACCCTAAATCTGTCTCATAGGTTGACACAAGTGGAAAAGAGAAGCCTGACATTTCTTCTCTGCTTCATCTTTCCAGCTCCTCAGTAAAAAGGTAATCTCCAGTCTAAGCAATTATCATTCACTTCTACCTAACTAAACATCAATCGATCAGACTACCTTCCCAATCAATAGAGGAAATAGGACACAAAGCAGAAAGTTTAAGATGGCTGGGTCTTCCATGAAAGGGCTTTAAGAATTAAAATAAGGAGAACATGGCTAAGTAGGCTGGAAGAAAGAAATAAACACACTGAATATCCATTATGGTCAAAACAATTAGATAAGTATCAATCCTTCTATAATAGCATGTATTATTTTTGGATTTTAAACCTTGAGAAAACAAGTTCACAGAAGTTAATAATTTGCCCTGCCCTGCCATTCACTCGGAAGCTAGAGTCAGGTCGGACATCCCAATCCCTCTGCATGGTGCCTTCCTGGAGTCCCACACATCCTTATTATTTTCCCAAGGAGACTGCAGCTGGTAGGGATCCCACCAACCCCTTCACCCTTGGGGGGATGGTTCAGAGCTCCCACGCCAGAGGCCTCGAATTATTCCTGCTTCGCGTAACATATTGGTGGGAAGGTGCTCGAAGTCTAGTTATATGTCTTAAATCAGATGTCTTGTAATAATAATTAAAGATAATTAGCACAATGATACAATTATTTACTAGGGCTCCTGCTGTAAAGGACTAAGCATTTTACAGACACTGTATCCAAGAGAATGCAAGTGAATCAAGCACCAACACTGGTCCTCTGCATTCAACCTTTTCCTTGGAACCCTAAAGCCACACAATCTCAGTGTGTATTAGGTCATGGACCCAGTTTATTAATTGATCTAAAAACCAATTTCATTTCATTTTTCTCTGCCTGTTAAACTCCCTCACCTGCTCTCTCCTGACCCTGAAATGAAATCTTCGGGATGTCTCTGGTTTCTAATAATGCTTAGGTAATAATAGTTCTCAGGTCACCTTCACATGCTATTAAGTGCAGCCCAGTTGAAAATGATCAAGTTCAGGGCCTCCCCTGGTGGCGCAGCGGTTGAGCGCTGGGCTGCGAAGCTGCCCGCAGCCTCTGCAGCGCCGGTTTGATCCCCAGCCACCAGGTGAGGGTCCCACATGGCACGCAGACCTCTCTTGCTACCCGCTGCTCCCCTCAGCAGTGTACTTCGGTCCTTCTGCCTGTTCTGCTCCCTGCTCTGGCTCTGGTGAATTCTCTTACCCTCCCGCGCTTCTGAGTGTACCTAGTGCTTGTATAAATAAATAAATCTTAAAAAAAAAAAAAAGAAAATGATTAAGTTCAGTCTGTCCTAGAGAACAGAACCCCAAACTCATTTAAACTTCAAACTCTCTCCTCCTCATCACTTATTCAGGTCTGCTCCACCCTGGAATTCTGCCGGAAGGGCTGGAGGAGCAAATGATGGCTTTTCCTGTTGTCACCTTCTCCACCCACCACCAGTTTCACTACTCTGTGACTAGAACCAGAGGTAGAGAAAAAGTTCAGATGTAAACTGGTGTTGGGGCCCTCTGAGCAGGGTGGCAGTGGGTCTGAGGCTGGCTTTTATTCTAATGGAGCATGTTGGCAAGTTCTTCAAGAATTCGGTTGGGGCCTCTGGCCACAGTGTCTTTGAATGGACAATGCCTCTTTCCTGGTTGCCCACTTTATACCCCTTCAGCCTCTCTGTACTTCAGAAATGAATGCCTCCTTGGGGTTCTTTCACTCTTCTACACTATCCGCATGGACAGGCTTGCCCTCTTATGACACCCACAATCTGCTCCATGGAAACAGTTACTACCCCCTAACCTCAAAATCATGTTCACTTCCAAGGAATGCATTCTCCCTTTGCTCTGTCAACTCCAAACCTAGCTTGTCACAAATTTGGGGGCTGAGGGGCAGAGAGGAGGGGGGATTGGCAGACACAAAGTCAAACTAAGTGGTCCCTTGCAGCATCTTTCACTTGGCTTTAAGTGTAATACTCTCTTCTTCCCCACAGCAAGGCTTGGGGTGAGGAAGAACAGGAGACGAGAAACACCACAGCACTCCAAAGTGCCTTCAAAGAAAATGTCTGAGCTCTTGATCATTCCATTGAGCATCTTCTGTGTCCATAGCACACTCTGTCCATAGGTTGGGTTCTTTATTTATTTTCCGGTTGCAGAGAAGCTGTTGAAGTGTAATTACACTCCAGTAAGGGTACACTTTCACATCCTCACCCTTTTCTTCCACCACTCACACCTTCTGGGAAATTCTGTGCTTTTGATAGTGAAAACTCTTTGCCTTTCAAATTCTCGAGCAGCAAACAGCACCGCCACTCTCAGGCCCTTGGATGTCATGATGCGATACACACGCCCACCTCCCCCGGAGAAGACTAGGCCCATGGATTCCTCATGTTTTTGAGGTTAGATTTCTAGATTTTAAAAGTCATCCCACTCCCCACCTCCACAACAATTTCTGGAATGTTTATACAATGAGACAAAATAATGTTATGATCATTTTAAAGACACTTTGGAAATGTCTTAAAGAATTCCAAGAAATCCATTCAATCTGCTTTTATTTTTTAGATTTCCTGTCCTAGTCCACTTCTTCATACTTTAAGTATGACCACCCTTCTTTCTTCCAAGATAATGTGAAACTCATATAATCTGGGAGAAATTTTTCTCAGAGAATGAGCATATTTTCAACAAAATGTATATTTCCTAATTTTACCAACATTAAATATATATTAATCCATCTCATGTGGCTCCTTAAATGATCACAGGCTAAAAAATAATGATTAAATTGTAGCTCAAATTCTCTGCACTTAATCCCAGTATATTTAGCTAAATTTTATTTTTAGAAAAATGTTTTACATGTTGTCCTTTGTCCACTGAAATTTCATTGCCTCTCCTCATTTATTTCCAATATTTAATATCAGTTTTAGAGTCAATAGCATGGATAGACACTTTTTTTTCCATCTAAGCATAATTATTTAATTAAACACCAGTGTTTTGGCAGATAAGCAATAAAGCCAAAGCTCTAGATATGATGGCTATGAACTCCTTTTAGAATAGACATGATCTTGCCAGGAATCCTGTTTAAGTCAAACTAGCTATCTCCCTCTGTCTACCTGGATAGATCTCAGAACCGTTGTCCAGGTACAGGAGGATGCCTTCGTGACTGAGAGGCTGTTCATTGGGCTGTAACCTCGTGTGGGGCAGGAAAAGGATGCTACATGAATTTTGTTATAAGTCCTAGGACAGTGTCCTGTGTATTATAGCTTTTGTTACATGATACTTATTTATAGAATATTGTCACTCTGAGCTCACTTCTCTTTCTGACAGCAGATGAGATGATAGGACTTACTTGAAAGCATTTACTTTGGAGGCAGTTTGGAGCCTGTGATGCTCTACAGAGTCTTACAACAATTTACAGAATGGGAACTTCTCACTATTGTGGCCTGACTGCCAATATCTTCTCCTCAGAACCTCTCTCCATCTCTCTTACCACATTCCCCCTTTGATATCGTCAAAGGATTCATCACCTCTTAGAGTGATCTTTTTTTTTTTTATTCCCTTCATTTTCTTTGGTTATTTGTTCACTTACATGTTATCTGCCCCCCCTTCCCCACCCACCTGATGTTTAATTTAAACTCCAAGAGGACAGGGAACTTGTCCTTGTTTGTGATTGCATATTGAAGCCTGGAGTAGCATTGGCACATGTTAGACACCCAGTAAAAGAAGTCCCAGCCCAAGGAGGAGCCTTGAACAAGTACTCCACTGCGCTGGGCGTCAGGTCTACATCCTTACAATCAGGCGCTGCCCTAGGTAGTTGTTAATCTTCCTTCTGACTTGAACACTACTCTTTTTTTTTTTTTTTTTTTTTTTGCCTTTTACATGAATTGCAATTATTGGTGAGATAAGAAGGGATCATTCCTCTTTGGTCACTATTATTGACTTTCAATTATAATATATATCAATCTAATCTCTCTGGTACCTAGATAAAATTTCAATATACAATTAAGCCTTTCTCATTAATTGGTTCTTGTTCCTTAAATATTTTATCCCATCCTGCTATAATCCCTTTTGTACACATCCATTGCCAGCCTGCCAGTCCATCTCAGTGGCAGGAGAGGGCTCTATTGTGTGCTCAAGGGATCTCTGAAGAAACCACAATATGGGGCAAAGCTCCAGAGCAGAGAAGACACCCGGCATGTAGCCAGGAGCATATCCAACTGCAGGAGGGACAGGGAATCAGGGGAAGCATAAACAAGAGCACATGCAAGGAACAGCAGGAGAGGAAGTTATCCTTCCTGAAGCCTGAAAACACCAAGAAGGACTCACAGATATTATCAAAAGTGAGACCCACACCAAGTCATCGTGAATACTTATCACATGTTCACGGGGACCGGGACTGTGCCCCTGGTGCAGTAACACTTAGGGTTTGATAATAACTCACCAAATGTTGACTGGAATGTCAACATTTTGGCCCTCAAATAACACCCGGAAGATTCTGAAATGTTTTACATAAAACTACAACCATGTGAAGCAAAGCGACTTCACTCAACATTCCGGGCCCCCGGGCTTGAGGGGTGCCTTTTTAAGTCATGATCAGTGTGTCCCAACACTTGGTTCTAAATGGCAGAAAACATCAACAAAGGAGCTGATTTGTTTGAAGTTAGAGTTTCCCTTAGGCACCTAGAAGAGTTTAGAGCCATTTATTTACTAGCAGTAATCAGCTTTCCACTTTCCAGAGATCATCTGAGCCTGGAGTTAATCTGTAGATAATCTGGATTAAGGAGTTACAACCTCTTAGTCATATGGGTCACCCCCACTGTTGGTGTGGCAGGTACAACTTTATGAAAACATGGTTATTTCCCATTTACCCTTCTCAAGCTTCCTAGGGAACACTCTTTAGCCAAATGACTCAAGTTTCTAATCTTTGTCACATAGATTGGGTAGTGGATAAATTGAGGAAAAGTACTTCGAGACCCTACATTTATGAGAAAAGGTCTGAACTGTCTGAAAAGAAAAACTTCCAGAAGAAATAGGGAAAGGAAGAAGGACGCCTAAGATTTAAGAGTGA